AAGAAAAACTACAATGACTCAACAAAGAAAGAAAAAGAATGTAAGGTTGCATCTGCCCCAATTAGTCATGTGTCCTTATAGGCAATTCTGAAGTGGGGTACTTCAAGAGTATCAACTTGCAGCAGATAATGGAGGGCTGGTGGAGGATTAATAGCAACTTCAATCTCATTAGAGTGTGATCCATGTTGGGCCAACCAGTTTGCAGGCTGGTTACCTTCCCTATAAATGAAAGTGAACTGAATTTGTATCTTGCTAGTGAGATCTTTGATTTTGCTTATCCAGTATGCGTAGTGTCAGGGAGTCTCCTCTTCCTGATTTAAAAGGGGAATACTAACCGAAAAATCCACTTCCAACCAAATTCTATTCCAATTAGCCTTAGTGGCAAGTTTGATTGCCTACACAGCAATGAGTTCAGTTTCAGTGGCATCAGTGGCGAGGACTGGGGTATAAAAGTACAGCAAGCTCTTACTTAAATGATTTCTGTAGATACCTCCCACTCCAGCTCCATTTTTAGTAAAGCTTCCATCAGTGTTAATCTTCACAATAGGATGATTTGGGATTTTCCAATAGACTCTAATGACTTGAATAAGATCAGACTTAATGGATGTACAGGAGTTAGAAATGTTAGGAAATTCTTTCCAATTAATCATCTTATGCAAATAAGTTACACAATTTCTAGCAGTAATCCCCACATTTGGATTTGCTTCTTCAAATTTGACCTTGTTTCTTTCCATCCAAATGAACCAAGCAATGGTGAAAAGGATAGCAGCATACTTTCTTATCTTCCAGTGCCACCAGCAATTGACCAGCCTATCCCAAGTGAGCTCTTTCTGATCAATTGTCAACTGATTTAAGAACTGTTTCCATACTTGTTGAGCAAAGTCACATTCAAAGAATAAATGATTTAGAGTTTCCTCTTACTTCTTACATAACCAGCATTTAGAGGGACCCCTCAATCCCTTCAGCTTTAGAATTTCATCAATAGGAATCATTTTACGGAATATTCTCCAATAGCAAAAGGACATAGAAGGGGATAGGAATTTATTCCATAAATGATCTCCTCAGGGTGTTTGCTCCCAACTGAAATTTTTAGAATATATGGCTTTGGTGAGGCTTTGGTGGGAAGTAGTCTAACATAAGATTTTGTCAGCAATGTTTCTAATAAATTTTATACTGGCCACTTTGGAAATAGAGTGAGGTTGCAAAAGACTTGCTAACTTACCCAGGGACCAGTTATCACCATCCCAACAATCAGCCACTTTCAATTCACTATTGTAGATATTGGTGATGGGGGAGAGCCAGTCATTGGGACACCAATTATCAAGCCAAAACTTGATTTCCCCATTTACCAGCTCCCAACTGTAGTTGGTTTCAGCAATTTGTCTAATTTTTAGCATTTTCACCCAAATTCTAGAATCACCAATTTTCCTTAGGACCAGTGTGGGGTGCTAATCTTTGCAATACTTACCCCACATGAATTTTTCCCACAGTGAATTTTGAGTCCTAAACTTAATCCAGAGTTTACAGAAATTGACTTGAAGGAGTTGTTCAAGGTCCTTAAAGCCAATTCTCCTAGCAATTTGAGGTTTAGTTGCTTTCCTCCAAAAAGTTCTGATGTTTGGGCATATATAGATGTATATATATATATATGTAAATTAAAATGTCCTTCTGAAGCGGATGATGAGATTAAAATTTCGGTGATCGGCAGCTTTCGACGAGCAACTCCTCCAACCAAAAAATACTGCTGACAGCTTCTAGTTACTCCACTGGGGACAAGCTTTTCTTTCCATTTAAATTAGGAAATATCATCTTCATACATCGGTAATGTGTGTATGTCCCTCATGAACCAAATTACCCTTCTTTTGTTGGCATGCTTTACCCATTTCTATCTTGGGAAAGTACGGGCAACTCTTTGGACTTCTAGACTGTCTGTTCAATCACCTTCGAAAAAAGAGGTTCAAGAGGCCATTAAAGACT